CCAAGATGCCTACAACAAAGTCAAACTTCCAGTGGACACAACGACAAACATGCATGCCTCGCTCATGGATCTGTGGGGCATCTGTGGCTCTTCCAGGCTTGGCTAGACTCGGGTTCAAGCATGCTGCATGTGACTCTCATTCTGGCTAAGGAGTAGGAGAGCACAAAAGGCCAAGCCATACCACATAAGCACATTGAAAGCCTCTGCTGGAATGAAGCACATGCTGTATCTAGTCACATTCAATTGGTCAAGACCAGTCTCACGGCCAAGCAAAAGTCAAAGGAGCAAAGAAATATACCCTACCTGTAAGAGGCACTGCCAAGTCACATGGCAAAAAGTAGGAGTGCATAACCCTTTTATAGGGAGTGGGATGATTGGAACACTGATCTCATGTACTACAATATCTTTGCTGTGCTTTTTGAGTATCTATCCTGTCTTTGGCCTGGTCATATATGTATGGCCAGGATTCTCTCAGTTTCACACAAGTACAAGAATCTGCTTTACTTTCTCCTATGTTCAGCCTTACATGAGTGTGTCTTAATACTGCTGTGAGAATCGTTGACTCGACTTCTTAACCTCTTAATTCATTATTCAAGATGGAAAGTGTTCAGGTTTCAGTAATGGTCTTCACAACCCAAACAGATTGTTTCCTTCCCTGAAATACCATTGAACTTCCTATCTGCATCTTTCATTTTGGTTCTTACTTAACTTTTTAATATATCTTCTGCTTGACTTTATTTTATACCCTCTTTAAGAGACAGTTTTCCTGGGTACACAAGTTTTAGTTGCCAGTTACTTTTCTCAGAACTTTGAGTGCTATTGCATTTCTCCTGGCTTCCATCATCGTTGAGAAGTCTGCTAGCATTTTAATTTTCCCTTTTTAAGTGACCTGTGTTTCTCTCTGGTTTTTTGTAAAGCTTTCTCTGTGTATTTGATTTTCTGCAATTTCAATACCAGATGTCCAGATGTGGATTTATTTTTATTTGTAGTGCCGACTAGAAATTATCCTTCCTACATTAGTAAGTTTTGTATTTTATCATTTCTAGAAAATTCTCAGTCATTATCTCCTCAGATATTGTCTCTTCTTCATTCTCAGTATTCTTTCCTTCTGGGACTCTAATTAGCTGTATGTTGAAACTTTCATGCTTTTCTCCAAATCTGTTCACTTCTTTAATTTTTTTCATTCCCTGTTCATCTGTACTACCACATAGACAATTTCTTCAACTCCTTATTTCAATTTACAACCTTTTTTCTCAATTATCACAGCTATTTTACCCATCCACTGAGTTTTTATGTTCCACAAATACGTTGTTCATTTCTAAAAATTCCCTTTGGTCTTTTGAATGGTTTCTCATTTCTTACTCATTTTGTGATTCCATGTGTTTCTTTCTTTAAACATTTTATATTCCATAACTGATCATTTGAATATTTGAAGTTCTTGGAATCCTAACATATGGCTTTTATTTCTACTGACTCTCACCCAAGGGTGCTTGGTTGATCTCTGATAATGAGCCAACATCTGGTTGATGTTAATCTGGGTAAAATTGAGGATGTTTCCTACAGAGTTGCTGTTCCTTTTGCTTGGTGCTAGAGGGCGCCTCCTTTGACAGTGCTCAGCTTAATCCTCTGAGGGGAGGGCTGGGGGTGAGCCCTCAGACTTTCTTTGCCACTGACCCAGGCTTGGTCTGAAAGTGGCAGCGCTGGGACCTGCATTTGTTTACAGGGCCACCTTGCCTTTTACCTTTGTTTACTGTTCTCCGTTGCCTTTTCAGCATTTTATTTTTGTTTTGTACTATGTTTTCCCTTTAGACTTAATTCCCTTCTTTTTGAAGACTCCAGAAATGTGATGAAAACTGTTTTATGCAAGAGCTATTATTTTCAAGCAAGAAGGCTTTCCAGAGTATCTAATCGCCCATACTGCCAGTAGTGGATGTCTCAGTGATATTTTTTACTCTGAATTTATAGCTATGCTCCTAATCGCTGAGCTTGTCGAGAGCTGAAATTCCTAGATAAATGGAGCATGACTTAAGTTATTTTAAAAGTAGAACATGATAGTTAGAATCCTTAACTTAGACTTTCTTGCTTAAAATGGACCCTATATCAGGACAGGTTTGCTTGACTGACACACTGTGCTAATGAGATCATGTGATTTGGTTAGGTTTGCTCTGTCTACAAGGTGCAAATAAATCTGTTACCACTGCTGAAAATGTTACTCAAACCATCAGTCTTATTGAGTGAGGAGTTAAGGATATAATCTCATGAGGAAAGACTAACATAATTGTAATCACAAATACTTAGCTAGTATGGCTGATTTATAAAGGTTGCACTCTAACTTCGTTTATGGTAAGGAGACCACTCAAGTGAACAATGCCATCGTTGGCCTGCTGTCATGATCTTGGGATTCTGATATTTATTATTCCATAATTTATCTTTTTGAGGAAGAATCTTATCTATTAATATAATTCATTTATTGAATACTACTTTGTCCTTTTCCCTCAAAACAGAAAATGATACTAAACAGCTAACAGATCAGGTTTGGGGAATAAAAGACTAGATAGTCTGTAGAAGTGAGAGGTATTTCCAAGCCTGTATTGGCATTAAGCAGAGCGGGTGTTGAGTAAATATCTAGATTGGAAACATTAATTTGGGAAGATGGTGAATTAAAGCCTATCTGTAAAACAATCACACAAGGCTGAAAATGTGTTACAATCAGGACTTTCTGACCATATTTAGATAAATTATGTGCTGGATTTTAGAACTTTACATGTAACAGTGACTTCTAGGACATGAATAAAAGCTACAGTAGAAGCTAAGAAAACCCCTGACCCTCACTCCCACACACAGAGAACTAGGTAATTAGTACTTTCAGTAAATAAACTCCCTTGAATTAGCCACAATTATATTGAATTGTGCTACAGAGTAAATACTATATCTACCTGAGCTTTTATGCTGTTATTGCCAAAAGTATGAATGCTTCCCACAGGAGACTGAAAGAAGGAATGAGTTGAGTCAGGCAAGGATCAATAAAATACACTTGTGCAAATTTGAAGTTAGTATCCAGGAATGAATCAGTTTGTACAGGTCTCCCTCTCAGCTCTGCCTGAGGCACTCTCCGGAGCTTCCTTACCAACCATGTCTCTGAGAAGAAAATGAATTCATTCACTCTTATTGAAACAAATACATTATATCCTTGTGCACCTTTCAACAATTGAAGGTTCAGCTCAAAAGCCTGGATGTTCACACTAGATGAATCCAAGTTAAACGTATTAAATGAAACATGTTTCAATACTTGCATTTCCTGTCTTTAGAAACCAATAATGAGCCAAAGATATCCTTAACTATTATTTATCATTATTGAGTTCTGAAGTTTTTTGTGTTAACCTTTCAAAGATTAACTTTGAAAAGCCTAACACAAAGGGATGATGATTCAACTTTTTAGCAATTTAAATCTACTTCTAAGTCTTAATATTCACCAAGTCTAAAAGTTCTCTGAAATCCTGTCATTTCTTCTTTCTCCAAAAATTGTATTTTCTTTGGAATATATATTTAAAACTTCAAATAGATTTGTGATGGGTATTTAATTGCACTTAAAAATTCATGATCCAAGTTTCAGTACCAGAAACTAGCATCCATCATCTTGGCAGCAGAACACAAAATGTAAGAAAAACTGATCACCCAGATTTTTTTTAAAATGAAGCAAGGCAATTTTTATCTAAAAAGATCTCGAGGTTAGTGAAGAAAAAAAGGTACTTGAAATGTAAGAAAAGATCTTAAAATATTTCTTCTCATTTTTTACTTTATTCTCTTTGTTGCTGTCTCTTTTGGTTTGAAAAATAAGATGAGAACACATCTCAGTGTATCTGGAAAGAGTCTTGGGGAATTCTTAGTTCACTTCTTAAAAGAGAAAAAAACTAACTACATTATGTGATAAATAAAATATTTTTTATCTCAAATTCCTTTTGAATTCTTATTCTATCAAATCCTGGAATGAAAGAAAGAACAATGAAAATCCCATTTCTTATGATTTGTGGTCACGAAACCCAGTCATCACAGGATAGTTTTTCAGTGTTGTTATGACACGATTAAAAACAACTTATAAGAGAATCTGTATCATCCACTTAGAAAATCCTCTGTCCAATGAGGACAATAAACTGATTTTTTAAACTGTTTCTACATAGACATTTCCCAGTAAGTAAAATATAATGCTCTGACAACGAAATTCTACAATGAGCTTTTGTAGAAATCTTTATGATTACACTAGGATCAAGTGAATCTCACAGACAAAAGTCCCTTTCTACACTTCATCATGCACTAACGATGCTGTTTTAGAGGCTGCTTTCTGGGTATAAGACTAAACTATAATTAATGTTTTCTAATAGGTGTGCAACACGGAATTGAAAGCAAGAATAAAATTATCCACTTTAAAAAGGAATATGATTATAGATGAAGTAAAGGAAGTTTAAAACATTATGTAAACATTTTACGGTAAGTAACTATTAAACACAAGGCCATATATTTTAATTATTATTATCTTTCTGTATGTCATTTGAAAATATTTAAGTGCATTTGAATAGAAGTAGATGGTAGATGTTTTTCATGTATTTGCCAGCAAGTACCTTTCTGTCATTTGCTTATTGCGTAACAATATGCTTGTAGAGAATTTCATCACCTATTCAGTGTAAATATATATCCCTTCATATTTAGGAACTTCTGCACATATTTGGACTTAAATAAGAACAATTTGCACTACTCGCTGTGAGGGGAAAAAATTTGAAAAATGATTAAAAAAGAGTTTCTTATCTAATAATACCAGCCTTGTTTACGTCTCTCTGCGCATACCATAATGAATTGATGACCAAGAATACAACTGTAGATTAAAAATAAAATGAAACAATTAAGAAAGAAGAAAAAGAATAGGCTGCCTGGTGACAAAAGACCGTCTCCCCTCATGCCAGTGAGGTTCTAGCTGTGAGCATGCTCAGATGCATGGGAGGCACCAGAGTTACTATATGAGAACTCCTCCCGAGGTGTAAGGAGGATACGACTAATAACTCAATTGCTGTAAGCCTATTGTTATTTTCCTGGTATTAAACCTCTCTTCAGCCGCGGATTGATGGCAATGTTTCTTCTACTTCATTTCGCTTTTCTGATAGATGTCAAAGGTAAGGCTGCTGCTTTCTCACTTAAGTGAGTGCAATTCCAAAAGAATATAATATTTCTATTTAGTTTTATCATATTTATAATAGACTTATTGCAGTGTTTGATAAACAGTCATTCAGTTTGCATTGTCGTTGCCATTATCACTAATTGCTTGTAGTCCCATCCGAGCAATTTCTAGAAGTAACACATTTTTCATGGAAACTTCCTTGATACGTTATTAAAATTGTAGATAAAATATCTTTACAAAACAATGTTGAACATATCAGTTATCATGGAGAAAATGTTTTTTAGTATTTGTAAAAAAAGTATGACAAATTAATAAGTTAAAATTTTGCCATATGAAATTTCAACCTGTTGAAATATGTTCACAACATTTATGTAATTGTGAGTTTCTATGTTTCGTTGTTAACATAGTTAAACAGGGAACTACAAAGCTACAGAAAAGTCTAAAAATCAGTATCTCTCCCTAAGAGCAAACCTCTCTAAAACAAAATCATTTAAAATTTACAAAAGTATACCTATTTAGATAATTCTTTTCTGCTTTTAATTTTTAAACATTTTTATTTCAGCCAAACTGCTAATTTTCAAGTTAGTGGCATTTTTATTGTAAAGCTAAGGAAAAAAATAAAATTTAATCTTCACCTGGTTTTAAAGAAAAATAGACACTTGTTTTGATATGAGCTTGTATACTTGTAAATAAATAATCTAGTCATCATACCCAAGGCATTTTGAGTTTATTGTTATTATTAAAAAATGTAGCTATTTAAGTTCATAGTCTTTCTTAAAGACTTGGTAAACCTCCGAGAATAAAAGTTAAAATTTGAAATTGTTTTTATTTTTTGATAAATTTGTTTTAGGTTTTTAAAATATTCAATTCTATTAAATAAATTCAACTGAATAGTTTTAATCCTGAATTAAAATGCAGTATTTATGAGAAACGATTTAAGAACTTCTAACAAATAAAAGATTTTAAAATATTTAAAATTTAGTTTGAATTTGAAATACTAAAACTTTGTGTTTCAAATTAATTTACAATGTTATTTTAATACACTTTGCACGATTTTTGTTTTGTATTTTAATCTCTCTTCCATGAAAACAAGCGTTATCTAAGGAGCAGCAGTATATGGTCTCATTTTGCATGAAATACAGTTGTAGAAAGCAGTCTATTTCTATGATTTAAGGTCTTCAGAAGTTCATGTCTTGGCACATTTGTAATACTCAATTTTTCATGATTTTTAAGAATAAGCAGTTAAAAAGTGGGCTCTTTGAATTCAATATACTTCATAGAGGTTATCTGTGCCCTTAAACAATTCTTTAATGTACAGGAATGTAACTACAGTTAATCAATTTTACTATATTACTGCTTTTACTTGTGGTAATGCACATAATTGATTCTGCTTAGAAAAACAAAATCTTCATGAGATGAAAAACATCTCTTACTAAAATAATATTTTAAGATTTATCACAATGTGATGGTGTTCTTTAAACTAAAAAAAGAAGGAAAGAAATTTTAAACAAATGATTTTTGTTTGTTTTTTATTTCTAAGTGAATGCCATATTTCAGATCCCTAGTACCAATCTGATAAATATTTATTGACTAATTATAATTCCCTGGAAATTTTTATTTTCTGATTTTATGTTACTTTCAATTGCTAATTTAAGCCTTTATATATAAAATTACTTATTTTCAAGTTAGACATGTCAATGCTTTGATATCTTCTATATATAAAAATAATAATAATTTGCTATATAATTAGCAAAACTTTTTTCTTTTTCACAATAAAATTATAGACAGTTAAAGCAGTTTGTTATAACAAAGTAAAGGCATTTAGAATGATGTGAGAGTAAAGATTACTTTTTAAATTTAAATAAGCATTTGTGATAGATTCTTAGGCCAGATCTAAAGAAAAGGAAAAGTCAGAAATTATATGATTGTCTTTTCTCTTCTGGCCATGATCACCCTGGAGTGCCTAAAGAAGGAGTAATATCGAATATTTTAAACTACTGACATTAATTGATACGTAAAGATAACAAATCTTATTATCACTTTCCACATGTGTTTTATCAATCTCGTCACTGGGTATCCTTGTTAGCCTCAAACTCCTCCAAAAAAAAAAGTTTTTTATGGACTAATTAGGGACAATATTAAAAACCAAAAACATGGGCTTATATGGGAAATTAAAAGCATGAGGTATCAAGAATGCTACTTGGTAACTACCAACTGCTACTTATTCAAATCATTTGCTAACCTTGGAAAAATGCAGTTGTCAAAAGCAAGGCTGAACAGCATTTGACGTGAGCAGTATTTGACTGCCCCCTAATGGACAAGTTCAAAGCTCAGCTTGGATGATGCTTTTTCTAAGCAATTTCAGTTTGACTTGGTCACTGTGATTGGAGAAAAAGGGTTTTCAACTAAATTTTAATTTCGCACAATTGCATCCATGCTGCTGATAGCTGTGAAAAAATTATGTCGCAAGCCAGTCACACTGCGAGGCGAAGGCAGCACCTCTAATGAAAAAGACACTCACCTGTTTGAGGGCTGCGTGGAACCTGCTGTGAGGGAGGGGAAATAGCAGAAACCAGAAGACCATCTGAGATGTGTTATCTTAACGGCACCAACTAAATATACCTCTCAACAGGTGTTGATTCATGTGTTCATCTTGTTGTTAATGTTTTAAAAGAGTCTTAAGGACTCTCACTTGAAGTGACAAAATTGTCCGTCACCTGAATTTTAGAGACAAAATTGGGATGCTGCTTTCAAATAAATTGACATTGAAAAATGGTACATTTTTATCCTAGAAAATTGTGGCCTGAATAAAATTCAATTAACTAAGAATAGTTTTTGTGTACATAGTTATACAATGATAAAAGCACAGCGTTTTTAGGAGTATATATAGATTGAGAACCCAAAACACCTTGGTTTACTTGTTTGGTAAAAATATAATTTAATATTCACCAGGCAAAATGAATGCACTGTTTTACATGAGAAATATTGGTGGAATTATCTGAAAATGAAAAATATACCTCTCATCTGTGCTTCACTCACATGCATCAGTTTCTCACCTCTATACTACCAGTTGAGTATGCATAGAAAAAATTGTTTGAAATAATTTCAACATTGTTAAATACCTCAGAAAAGTGCCCCAAGATCAAAATAAAATGATTGATTTAATGCTCATGTGATAAATAGAAAGTTTTAAGATTAGAAAGGAATTGAAATTGAAGAGGTAACTTTATTACTAGGTGAAAAGCCTTTAAAATACGCTCTACATGCCTGACTAACACTGTGGACCTCTTTCCGATGCCTCTCCTCCTTTCCACTGTTCCACTGATTTCTGCCCTTACCTGGGCTTCTGTTTATGCCTCTCTTCTGCCCCACCCCCGCTGTTGCTCTCTTCTTAGTTTAGCTTCCTGCCACACTTTCCCCATCTTCTCCTCACCTTTGCGCACATCTGTCTTAAATGCCCTCCTGGCCTCCCTTCCCACTCTTTCTACATCGCACCTTCTCACTGTTGTCTCTGTCTTCCAGGTTTCCTCATCTCTGACATCTTTCCTCTCTTGTCTTCTCGTCTCTGTTTTTCAACTCTCCTGTTCCCTGAGCTCTTCTCTCCTCCAGCTCAGTCTTCGTCCTTTCCACAGCCCACGCTCTCTAATTCCCATATCTGCTCCATCCTGATTATTAGCTTCTGCCTTTTCATTTCCACCTTGGAACACGTCGACCCCTCAATTTCCTCCTTCCTCAGGTATTCCTCGCCTCTAATCATCACCTGCCTTTGCCTAGCTTCCTCTCCACCGTCTTCATGCATCTTTCTTGTCTCCCCTTGGGGGACCTTACTTCCTTTCTGTCATTTGTGTCTAGTCCCAAGGTCTCCTGACCTGCTCAGCAGTCACGATTTCTGTTGCTCAGGTTGCTAGAACACATGCCCAAACAGAACCAAATGAGTATTATAACTAGTTATAACTTCAACACTGGCTTGCTCTCGTTTTTTAGGTCCATGGTGATTTATTTGCCATTCTAAAGTCCGGCAGGCTCTGAAAACTGAAAGTTTGAATTCTTTTGCCTACGAAATCTGGTCACAATTGACCAGAGGCTATTCAGAGGCTTTGTTTATAAACTTATTGCAAAATTTCCTACACTGTGCTGTAAATATTACCATGTTTGATTATGAGATTTTGCCACAGATCTAGAAGAGAATGTCATGTAATTTACAGCATAGCATATGCATTGCATTAGCTTTCTAAAATAAAACAAATTATACGTTCTGAAACACATCTCTCCAAAGGGTTTCTGTGAAGGTGTTATAGATCTGTATTAGCTGTCACCGATTCAGATTACCAACTGTCTCATGCCACTTTTATTCTCCCCAGTGGTATATAACTATTTTCTCTGCCCAGAGAAGTTCTATGTAATAGAATAAGTGTTGGATGAGGCACAGATCATTTTAACTAACTCTCCCTTTCTCAGATTTCAGTTTATTTTTTATTCAATCTATTAAGTTTTTTAAAAAAAACTTAAGTGATTATATTTTTCATTTCAATAATTCCAACTGTATTTAAACCTATCTGTGCTGCTTTTCTAAATTTCCATTCTTACTTCATGATATTATTCCTTCCATGATTTCTCTGAGAATTTTAATCATACGGATTTTAAACTGCTTTTTAGAGCTCTATCCTCTAGTTCCCCAAGTAGGAATTCTCCCTTTTTTCGAGGCCGGGACATTTTCATGAAGGCGGAGGGGTTTTTCTCCTGCACGCAACTCCTTATGAGTGGTTTCAAAATTGCCTCCACATAGCCCATGGCGTGTTCAGATCTGAGCCATAGTTTATGTTAGTATCTCAGGGATTTTCCCTTGTGGGTGATCCAGTTGCAACTCTCATGCCCAATTTGCAAAGGTCCCACTGCTGCTTTCCCTGCCGGCCAAGGGTAAGGGGCAATATTCAAATCACAACCTTGGGTGGTCAGGCAGAGCAATTTCATCTCCCATTCATTGTCAGAGGTTCA